GGAGAAAGTAGATATTGGCAGTAAATGCTCAAAGGCAATTACATACTTGCCAAAAACGTACTTATGAAACTCAGTAACATATACAATGAATATATAAAAATTAATTAATAAAACCAAAAATAAAATTAATATTATTAACAATTAATGGAATCTTTGTATTATCTCAAGAATACATGAGAGAGAAGAGAGGAGAGAGGAGAGAGGAGAGAGGAGAGAGAGAGAGAGAGAGAGAGAGAGATTTGATTTTGGCATAAGGTAGACACATATCTTTAAGGCTGAGTAGATTTTCAATAAACTGTGATAAAGCATGTCTTACCATCACTGTTGATGCACACAACCTCTTGAACTTGAGTGCCCGGCCCACAAGCCCTTCCATTATCTGGTTCACAGTCTCCAAGCCTCACTGCCTTCCAGTCATAGCAAGACGGTTCTTCACAGGGAATGGCTTCCAGTAAGTGAGGACAGTTTCCAGTGCCCCCAGAACCTCCAGTGGGCTCATTGATAATGCGTCGCTTCCTCAGTTTGAAGCCTGAGTCATTGGAGAAAGAAAATATTTACTGTTAACACCAGAGTTTCAATACATCAGAAAGCTAGTTGAAACTCCAGAGTGAATGCTTGGTGAGGGTGGAGGGTAGAAATTATATCATATTTGAATCCCCAGTGGACACATCCCCAAATCGTAGCTTAATGTGAGCCCGCCAGCCATTTGGGGAAGAAGAAAGGAAGGAAACAGGAAGGAAGGAAGGAAGGAAGGAAGGAAGGAAGGAAGGAAGGAAGGAAGGAAGGAAGGAAGGAAGATGAAAAAAATAAGATCGAGTTTTAGCTTTTCGTAAGAAAGTTAAGGCAAGAGATATCATGTAACTTCAGTCTCCATATAGAGTGAGAGAGAGATATTTTTTTTGTTTGGTACATTTGAAAAGTTTATAGTTACAGAAAATTCAAAGGAACAATGGAAGCTCAGAGCTATTCAGAAATATTCATGATCAGAAAAATGTTATTACTTTTAATTATCCAGCATTGTTATATGAGTGAATGTAAAAAAGACCTCTGAAAGGTTGTATGGTTTCAAAAAGTGCTCTCTTCGAGCCTCAACAGCATCTAGAGCCTGAAGCTCTGAATTCAGAGCATAACTATCTGGGTTTTAGTGTGGATTATTCAAAAGTTCTCCTTCATGCTCCAATAGCTCTTACATGCTACTCTGATGGCAGTATGTCTTCTTACTGCTATGTGAACAGCCTAGAACCACTAGAATGCTGTCTTTTGACCCCAAATAAGAAAACACTTTCTATCATGACATGATATGAAAATGAATTCATCCTGCCCACCAGTAAGTAAGGTGCCACATTCATTCTACTCTTCCTAAGTATATTGCTTTCACTGTAAGGCCATCATTTCTTTGTGTGTGTGGTCTTAGGAATTGAGCATAGGACCTCACATATGCTTGGCAAGCACTCTACTACTAAGCTGTATTATCAGCCTCAAACCAACCAACCAACCAACCAACCCAAACACATTCTTACCTTCAAAGTAATGAGGAGCTCTGATTATCAGACACTATCTGAGCCAGACTGTGAAATCTGCTACCTCATTGATCCTTCAGAAACAATCTGGGTGACAGCTATCATCACATGGCTTACAGATATGGGAGCAAATATTTATATAAATTAACTCATCTAAACAGTAAGGGGCAGAGCAGGTTTTCCAGTCCTGGTCAGCCGACGTCACAGCCCACTGTAACCAATGCATCTTGCCTGTGTTCTTCCATCTCAAACTTCTGACTACCAGAGTAGGTTATTTATCCTTCAAAATCAGTACTCTAATTATTCTGGAAAACATCATAAGCTAACATTCCCAAGAATCACAAAACATTTTAAAACTAATGCCCAATTTGACTCATTGGTAGGTTTTTGAGAGGGTTAGGTCACAGTTACATACCTTTTCTGCCTTGCTGATCATTACAGTTTTCATAAGTACAAGGTCCCCAGGCAGACCAAGGTGAAACCTCACATTCAACTGGACATGGGATGTGGCACAGCTGTGTGGTATTAGGAATGAGGCCATTGCATAATTTTGAATCCACTGGTTTTGAGGCTGTTTGAAGAAAAATATAGGTATCTCTTAAGAATTAAACCGAAAGAAGACATTGTGGGCAGCAATATGATTTTGTTGTGCACAGAAGGATAGTTTTTGAAGATGTGTCACCAAGATTATCTACATTTTGAGAATAAAAAGAGAATGGGAGGGGGTTAAAACAGTATCATGTCATAAAGGAAAACTGGATTAGTTTTGCAAATTGTTGAGTTTACAGCTATTTGTCATGAAGTTAGTAAATACAAATGCGATTTTCTGAATTAGCAAAATAATCCTTCAGGTGAACTGTATAAATTCTATAGCTGTATTCTAAAGAGTGGTTCTTTAGAGAGCTGAGCATGGTAGGAAGGTTGAAGTAGTTTTAACAAACATGTAAAAAATACCCTTCACCTCTAGTAGAGTAAACCCCTGTCAATTTGGGCCCACAGGTTTGTGAGGTGCCACATGGATACAGGGGAAGAGAAACTCAAATGGGGTTACCTTCAACCTCTATCTTTGATACTCATTCAGTGATTCCCAGAGATTTTGTGTGAGCTATTATCTGCATGTCTACAACCCTAAGAGCTGCTAAGGAATTTCTTTTCTTTTTTTGATGACTATAGATAACCTATTTTATACATACGTACATATATTATCATTAATGACAAGATATAGCCATAATTATATGTATATAAATTTTGTTATATTGGGGTGATTTGTGAAGGAAATCTAGAAATATATATTATTTATATATATATATATATATATAGAGAGAGAGAGAGAGAGAGAGAGAGAGAGCACAACATGGACAAGAGAAGAAAATTTTCTGTTTATTTTCTATCCTATCTCTCATCTATCTACCTTTTACTTACCTATCATATATTTATCACTTATAATTTAGTAGCTATAATTACTTTTGCTTCAAAAACTTAACTCATAGAAGTTTTGACCATATCTTTCTTTTAGAAAAGTCAGTTTTCAAAAGAAAGTTTTGAAAGCTTAGACTTGCAGAATACAAAACTTAGGTAACAAAGGCTTGGATAGCATTTATTCTTCTGTGGGAACGCTATTAATTTACAACTGTATAAGGTTACATATAGACACTAATAGAGGATTTAAAATATTTTAAGCTGGCTATCCTAACTTTAAATAAAAGCACTCAATGGTCCTACCCAGTTCAGATGCAAAGTCTATGAGTCACAATAATAACTTGCCTAACAAAACATTTCTATTGGTTCAATAGTGGCACTTTTAGCATAGGGGTATTCAACAGCTGTCTAATTGGACTTAAGGACAACTCAATAGGAAGGAATCCATGTATGGTACTATAAACATAGCCAAGTACAGATGGTAGGAGAGGCCATAAACCCTAGAGAAAAAAAAACCTTTGCAACTTTCCTTAACCAATGCAATTTATTATTATAGTTTAATACAATATATTTTATTTCAAAAAGCTTTTTTTTTGCAACTTATGGAGACTATTACAGAGATCTATAGTTGGTCAAAATGCAAAGAGTGACCGTGGGGGCCTCCAACTTTAATTGCTACAACTGTGATGCAACCACTACACCTAAGGCTCAGAGAGCATAGCAGAAGAGGAAACAGAAAGATTGTAACGGAGGAACAGAACACCTGCTGCTAGATAATACATTCTAGACATGATTGGTGAGCCGCACTCATTAAATCTCCACAGTGTGGTAGCCAACTATGATCTGCACAATAACAACACCAATCGAAATGACAATGTGAAAGTGGAAAATTTCACAGGGTCCCACTTCTACAGGAAGAGTTACATGCAGTCAATGGATATTGAAGGAAGGAGAATAGTGTTATCCAGGGATAGTTAGGTTATCTAATCCCAAATGGTCAGTCTTGAACACATGTATACATAAGTACCACTAAATGAGCTCAGTGCATTATAGATGTATATGTATATATATGCACAGGTGTGTATATGTATATTTGTAAATGTACATATGCATATGTAGCAATAATAAAAAAAGAGGACAAGAAATTGAGAGGTAGTGGGGGGACTACTAATGGGAGGATTTGGGGTAGCGGGAGGGGTAAAAACGATGCAAATACAATTCTCACATGTGAAATTCTCAAAAACTATGAAAAACTCACTGGATGTGTGTACTTTTATAGTTTAACTCTAGGACTGTAAGTACTTGTGCTTCCCTTAAGTTACTGTACACATAATTACACATAACATAAATGATGGCTATAGGCGATGATGTTGACTCCTACTCCCACAATTTTTGTTTAGAAAAATATTGCAAGCTTTACTTTTGCATATTCTTCCCAGTGGTACTTGCCCCTCCATTCCTTACATACTACAGTGTAGATAATGACGGGCAATTTCTTATTTTCTTAGTATGAAGCATAGTAAGGATTCTCACTCAAATTTAGAAGAATTGCTAAGTGCATCATGATATCAGCCAAAGGGAAAAATTAATTTATTTTGACTGCTTTCTAACAGTGACAATACTTAGCATACTAGTGACAGAAAACAGAAATAAATGCATCATTTCTCTGAACATCAAAATCTAGACATACGATACATATTCCACATAAAACTGAATCTTTTAAAGACCCCAATAAACAGAGAGTCTATAATACAAAGTTGAATCAACTGCAAATGAAAACAAATTAAGTTTTGTTTTGTAAAAAAAGATTTGTAAAACCTTTTGGACTGTATTCTAAATTAGATATTTTGTGCAAAGGAGACCAGGAAAGCCTCTATCCTTCCCTTTGAGTTGACTGAAAGTTACCTGAAACCTTAATATAATTATATTGTTTTGAAAATAATAATTTCTATATAGTGAAGTATACTGGGCATGCAAATTTGAGAAAAACCATCAAAAGAAATTCAGGAAACTTTAGTGGGGAAATGGTTTTATTAAGGAAATAGGTTCAAACAACTGTTTCTTCAGTCTGCTTCTTTTCTTTATAAGTTTAATTTAATTTTAGTTTTGATGTATTTTAAATGTGTCAAAAATAATTGCTCAGAAAAATCTTGAGCTACTAGAAGAGGAAGTGATGAATAAAGTCTTGAGAAATTACTGCCATAGCGATATCCTCTTGAGGCCTGAAGAGCTACTAAGTCAACTAAGTCAGCCCTGGGATAACATAATTATTGATAATTTGACTTCTATTTTACTGATATCCTTTTACATATATAGGTTTTTCATTAATCACAAAGATAGAAGACAATACCTGTTTGTGTGTACTTCTAGTTCTTTATTGATTTTCAATATAGTTTTTTTTGTAAACAGATTATGTATTGATTAATGTAAATTCCAGATACTACTCAAGTTCCTTAAAAACTATGACTCAAATACACCTTTGTAGTTGCCCAAGAGTTATTTGAAAAACACTGTGATTCAATGAACGAAGGGCAAACCCACGAGACCTCACTGGCCTCCAGTTGTACTTGAGGGATACAATTTATGTAGCCTTTATTTGATGACGTCTTGTTTTCTGCTGGTCTCATGTTGTCAAATATTGAAATTTGAATTCAAGAATAGCCAGTTTTTGCTGTTGTATAATTTTACTACTTAAGAGGATTGCCATATAGTAACCTTTTGACAAAAATGTATCTAATATATTTTTTAAATATTGCTATTGATTTCTTAAAACTAAAGAAGACATTTTATGTTTTGCCATATGATTTAAAACATAATTAAATGCATATTTTATGCTTTATGAGGTCACAAAGTCTGAAATTCCTGGTGTTATCAAAACAAATAAACAAACAAAACCCAACACATACTCTGAGACTGATACACCTTTGTAGGTCTGACATGTTTTTGTGTTTTGTGTATTCAGAGCACTTTAAGTGGAAAATATCATTATTTAACATAAACTTAGGACTTCTGTTTCCATCCATATGACCAATACATAATTTTAAAAACACATACTTTCTTTTCAGATAATTATATCCTGTACCTACTGTACCCACTTTAACATAGTGAAATGTTACTAAACTATTGCATAATATCATAGTCAGTTGTGGATACATGTTCATGCAGGGATGAAGAATATCCACACAAAACTCATATCTTTCAAAACTTCAAGAAGTGATCTGGCTGTTTAAAATGTTCATGCTAATTAAGGCAAGGCCTAAATCCCATAATTGGAGTGTTCACAGAAGAAGGCCTGATGATGAAGACATCAGAGAAAATGGCTGTCTGCAGTAATGTTGACATAAGTTATGGAACGTGAAGGACTGCTGTAGCCCTTCATTCATGATTTTAGTGAAAAGCATTCAACCTTTTGTCATTTTGCCATGGCAACTATAGATTTTTGAAGGTGTTATAGAGTTGGATATTCCCCATTCTATGCATACTTTTTCCAAAAGTGTTATTGTGAACTGGTGTTTAATTTTGTCAGATGTTTTTTCCATGTTGACATTATTATGTGACTTTTTTTTTCTTCTTTAACCTCTTAAAATAGAAGGGTATTTCGAAAGATTGTCTAGTCTAATATTGAAACAGCCTTACATCCATGAACACATTTTAGTTGGTCCTTTTATATATTGCTGAATTTGATATGCTAATATTTGGAAAATATTTTTATTTTTCTGTGCATGAGGTAGTTTAGTCTGAAATGTGCTTGCTTTCAGGTATTTCCCCCTCTTGTTCATTTTGTATAGAAATTTATTTAATATTGAGTCAGCTTTGGTAGGTTGTGATTTTACAATTTCCATATTTAATTCCTTCCATTTAGTCTTCCACAGAGAATTGCAATGATTGATTTCCAACCGTTTAAAGATTTCACTCTTATCTTTCTGTGATTGAAATTTAATTTGGTTCCATTAATTCTCTTGTTTGCTGAAATTGTTTTCATGTATTATAGCATGGCTTGCTCTGACAAATCTATATCTAAAAAGGTACATTAGCTGTTCTGGGACAGTATTAAATCTATATAATGCAAGATCTTTAAGTGTCTTTTAGATGCTCTTGGTTGGTGGGATAGTTGGGTGCTTCTGTATCTTTGCTGAGGTTTTGACCAGTTTG